TGACCGAGAATGGTTCTAGGTCATGTCTACATAGTTCTCGAACCCGTAGGGTCCGCACGCTTAACGTTACGATGACAGTTTTATTATGAGTTTATAAGTTTTGATGTACCGAAGTTTGTTCGGAGTCCCGGATGTGATCACGGACATGACGAGGAGTCTCGAAATGGTCGAGACATAAAGATTGATATATTGGACGACTATATTCGGACACCGGAAGTGTTCCGGGTGATTTCGGAGAAAACCGGAGTGCCGGGGGGGGTTACCGGAACCCCCCGGGAGAGTATTGGGCCTTATGGGCCTTAGGGGAAAGGAGAGAGGGGCGGCCAGCATGGGCCGCGCGCCCCCTCCCCCCTGGTCCGAATTGGACTAGGAGGGGGGCGCCCCCCCCCCTTTCCTTCCCCCTCTCCCCCTTCCTTCCCCCTCCTAGTAGGAGTAGGAAAGGAGGAGTCCTACTCCTACTAGGAGGAGGATTCCTCCTCCCTTGGCGCGCCCAAGGGGCCGGCTGGCCTCCCCCGTTGCTTCTTTATATACGGGGGCAGGGGGCACCCCATAGACACACAAGTTGATCTACGGATCGTTCCTTAGCCGTGTGCGGTGCCCCCCTCCACCATATTCCACCTTGGTCATATTGTCGTGTAGTTTAGGCGAAGCCCTGCGCCGGTAGAACATCATCATCGTCACCACGCCGTCGTGCTGACGGAACTCATCTCCGGAGCTCTGCTGAATCGGAGGCCGGAGATCGTCATCGAGCTGAACGTGTGCCGAACTCGGAGGTGCTGTACGTTCGGTGCTTGGATCGGTCGGATCGTGAAGACGTACGACTACATCAACCGCGTTGTGCTAACGCTTCCGCTTACGGTCTACGAGGGTACGTGGACAACACTCTCCCCTCTCGTTGCTATGCCATCACCATGATCTTGCGTGTGCGTAGGAATTTTTTTTGAAATTACTACGTTCCCCAACAGTGACTACATCACGGGGATGTCGGAACACGTCAACGAGAAAGAATAACAAAATTGGTAACAAGAACAGCATTATAGTGAGCATGGTGATGACTCAGAAGGATACCGATGCACACCGGGTTTTGTAAAGTATCACGAAGCAAAGGGAACATCACATGATAACCAAAGATTCACTCGAATATCATTTGTGTAATCACAGGGATCGATATGGATGTCCACGGTTCCGCTATCGGTCATTCAACGAAGGGGTTTCGTTCATGTCTATGATTTACCGAACCTATGGGGTCACAGGCTTAAGCTAATCATAATCTGTTGAGTATTAGTGAAACAGGAGTAATGATAATATATTTCCGGAATTGTTTTATTAATACCCGGAAGAGTCCTAAGAGGTTCCAGAAACGTTTCAGGGTCACTGGAAGGGTTTCAGTGAATATCGGGTAATACCAGGTATTACCGATTAATATATGTAGATGGCAAATATTTTTGGGATGTTATTTAATTTAATATCAATGGGCCTAATAAGGTCAATAGGTGGAGAAGGAATTGGGCCACAAGGGCCCAATAGGGGAGGCGCCCACCTTTCCCCTATGGGGAGGCCTAATCCTAGTGGGGGAAGGACACCTCCTTCCCCCCATGGCTGGCACAAGGGGAGGGGAGTCCTTTCCCCCATTGTGGCTCCCCCTCCTCCCCCCTAAACCTATATATACTAGAGGATTACCACCCTATGCAACACAAGTTTTGGAGCCTCCTCTAGTTGATCAAGTTCTAATTCTAGTTGGTCCTAGTTGACTAATTAGAGCTAGCCTTAGCCACCTATGATCCTCATAATTAGAAGTCCCATGTGGTTCTAATCTCCTCCCTCTAATTCTTCAGCAATGATTAGCTCTGGACGGCGAAGCGCTGCCGGATCGTGAAGACCGTACGCTTGCAACCAAGTAGAGAGGCCGTGCTTTCAGTCTTTCGTTCGAGGGTGGTTCACGGGATCTTCATCGACGTTTGAGGGACTTCAAGTACGATCTACACCGATTCGTCTACTTTCGCTGCACTCCGGAGTCAGTAGCAATCGTTGATCCAAACCCGATCTACATCTTCATATTGTTCCTGGGTGTTCGTAGGGTGATTTTTTTTGTTTTCTACTACGTTTTCCAATAGCTAGCGGCGATGACGCCCATGGGTGTAATTCCGCTCATTGGAGGTGTCGTTGTGGTGTGTCGGTATCTTGATCTCACTCACTTTGTTTGTTGTCTCGGGGCGAAATCCTAGGTCCGGATGTGGATTGGCAATGGCAGTGTCCATGACTTCGTTCCTTTGTCGGGAGCATCATTTTAGAGACACGTCTTGGAGGTTCTATGTTGTGTTTTTTTGGTGCTTGTCAATGTACTGGATTGTGCTAAAGGGCGCTATGTACGCTAGCGCGGGTGAGTCCAAGACAATGAATTTCTCAGGGTTGTCTAAGGACCGCTACACACCTGCCAACTCTTTTAGGCATTCAAGGATGGTTGTTGCATCGGCAAGGAGGGGTCTTTGGAGTTCTTGCTCTTCAGAAGTGACCGTCATTGGTCCAGACACGACTTTATTGGTCAGTATAGGACAGACTCTTAGAGCATCTACATTCGGCCGCCCCAACCCCCCCCCCCTATACATTTGGGCGAACAACCAGGTCACTAACCAGTGAGAAAAGACCCAACAGGGCTCCTCAAACCGGTCCCAAATGCCCGGGTTGTCCGGCACCGCTCATATCAAGCCCAAATCTAAGCGGAAATAGGGAGGCCCGAGCGTGCCCGCCACGTCAACCCGGCCCACTGTGGCTCGCACCGACCGCACTCCTGCCCCAACAAATATCAGAAGACGGACGAGCAAACCCTAGTCAAACCGCAGTTGCTCGACCTCTCCGCTCCTCGCCCGTCTCATCTGCTTCCTCTCCCTCCCAAATCCACTACCCTCCGCCATGGCCGACAACTACTCCAACTCTGACTCCATCGACTAGGAGAAGCTCGCGGCGGAGTCCTCTAGCTCATCAGTGCACGACGAGGAGGAGCTTGCGCTCCGTCGGTCACGGATGGACCGAGGCAGAAGCTCCTCTTCCGCGATGTCGCTGGTGGGCTCGGTGGGCGGCTGCAACTCCACGGTGCCCCTGGACCGCCCGATGCAGTCCCCGTCGCTCCCTGCCAGGCGTCACCAAACACTGCCAGCAGCTGCTCCTCTGGGGCGCCGTTGGGTGCTCATGTTGGCTGAAAGGCAGCCGGAGTCAGAGAGGCGCACGTATCGGTGCACAAGGAAGCGGGCGACGGAGGCGGCGGTTGCAAGCCGCTCCATGTGTGAATCTTGCAGATCCGCACCGGAGACGCTTCCCCCGCAAACGACGACGACGAGGCCCTCCACGACGCCATCTGCCGCTCCTACACATCCGCAAAGACCGTCGTCGCCGCAAAAATGCGGCGGCGCTCTGCATGGGGCTCGAGGAGTCCTAGCGGCTGGCGATACAACGGGTGACGATAGCGAAGAGAGCCACACGGCTCGTGGCGGAGCAGAACCGCGCCGCCCAGCGCATAGCGGGCATCATCATCTCGTCCTCCCCACTCCGCTCGGGCAACGATGCGCCCGATGGCAAAGATGCGTATGCCGAGGACAACCGCCGAGACCCCAAGGGGAAGCGCCGACAAGGAAGTAGTAAATCTAACTGCGCTATCTCTTAGTTTCTATGTTGTATCTATGTCGGATCGGATTGTGTTTATATGTTCTCTATGCCGAATTGCTATGTTTATATGTTGATCTATGTAGATACGTCGTTTGCATGGGTTTATGTGGATTTGTGGTAGGACGCAGTAGCGGCGCCAGGACAGAGGCACGCCCCAGGCCACCGTCAGAGCTACAGTGATCAACAGTTGGTATATTAGACAATGAACGAAGGAATTGGCAGCTACAACAGTTTTTTTAGGGAACTAAAATCTTTATTGATCAGCTAGTTCGGGGGGAATGATTACAGAGTCATGCGGCATAATTAGCCACATATGTCTACCAGTATCTAAGTACAAAGAATATTTCGCTAAACTATCAGCTTCATGATTCCTTGATCTACTTTCATGAATGAAATTGCACTCCTCGAAATCTCGTGCACGAATTCTAATCTCCCTTATAATAGCCTGATGATATTGGCAGCTACGCCCCAGGCCAAGGCCCCTGTTGCCCGGGGCCTGGATCCGCCACTGGTAGGACATATGACAGATGTGGTTGTGGAGTGTGAGAAATGCGGTTTGCCCGGTCACCTCCTACGGAAGCACCCACGGTCATATAGGGGCCCAAAATCAGGTGGCCACAACTGTAGATGCTCTTATGCGTTGTTGTTGTTGTTGTTTTATGTGCGTTCGAGTTGGGGGTGGGTTTGCTTCTCCCCGGGATATCTATAATTCTATATTTTTCTCCCGTGCCTCGTGGGGTGGCAGGTCATACAAGCATACAAGTCACGACATTCCAAAGGTGCCGTCCTGCGACCGCCACATTACATGGACAGATCATCAAAGCCAAAACTTTTCTGGTCGAAGTTGGCTGACTTCTGCGTCCAACTGTCAAGATTGGAAGCTGCCAAGTGCAGGCGCTGATGAAAGCTATGCACATGGTACAAACCGCTACCTGAAGAAAGTAGTTTACACCTTACAATTTTCATTACACTGGAGAACTGGATTAAGCTAATATATATTGATACTGGGTAGTATTTCACAAATTTTGAGCGACAAGGTCATGAACGCGTCATCTTTACCCACTTGGAACTTAGTTGAATAGGCAGGCAACAATTCCTGCCAATCTGAAGGGATTGAGCTAATCCTTACCTATCCAGACAAGCATTTACTGCAAATTACAGCAAATTCATATTCATATGTAAGAATACCCTAACACTTGCTTGAAAAAGTACTGGCTGGCATAAAACAGTGGTTGCAGAATTCCATCAGCATGTTCAGTTACATCATAATTTGAGTGCATATTTCAGTTCTTCCCGAAGTGAAAGGGATCCTTGGTGAGCCACTATATGGCTTTTGGCACTCAATTTTCTCGGGGATTTTTCATCGATTGCTGCATGAGGTACCTGTAGAAAAAAGTACTTCAGATTAACGAGAAAACATGGGGTAAAATGGCGTGAGCCACTGCGGAACTAAAGATAATTGGTTGAGTTGCAGGTGCAAGAAAAACCATGAAGTACAAGCATGAAATTTCTTCACTTAATTCAGCTCTTGTTAATTGGAACCCAATACAATCTGTGCTAAGCCAACAGAGAGAGCCACGTGTTTCTCTCCATTATGGAAGGAGAATAACCAAGTGCTACTCTCTCCGTTTCTAAATATAAGCCCCTTTAGAGATTTCAATGCGGACTACATACGGATGTATATGGACATATTTTAGAGTGTAGATTCACTCATTTTGCTCCGTATGTAGTCCGTATTGAAATCTCTAAAGGGGCTTATATTTAGGAACGGAGGGAGTAAAAGAGAATCACAAAGTAAATGTAAACGACCACGAAGTAAATTGCTGCTTTGCAATCTGAGGACTATGGATTGAGAGGTCAAGAGTTACCTGCCAGTGTAGAACCCTGCTGTATACCATGCATTCAGTACGACAGCGAGATCACTGTTTGCTCCTGTGGTGTCTAAATTCAGGTTCATGCCCACAGTTGTGTTATTCTCCTTTCCAATTCCACCTTCATTTCTCATATCTAATCAAGAGAAGAGGTGTCTGGTGAGATAAATTAAATATATATGTGCTATGAAATGTATTAGCATGTTATGATCTCAAGTTGATGAACATTCACGAAATTAAATGTCAGCCTTTACATTGAAGAAACATGCACAAAATGTCCCACCAATCTGATATACAGTTGAAAAGTGGAAATTAGGAGTGCTAGAGGAGAAACTGGCTATTGCATTCTTTTAAGACAGAACTTTAAGATATCCACAGAACAAGCACAGTAGTAGAACTACCAACACTTTATATGAGGGAAAATGCTTACTTGGAAAGGAGGCAGCATCTCCAGATATTGTATTTCTCATGAAATTCATGGCACCTTCAGCAGTCATCATTGCAGCCTTAGCAACTTGATCATCGCCAGTAGATACCTTAGTTGGGAGCTGCGTAAAGGCTGAACCAGTAGGATATGTAGTGCTTGCTCCAGGGCAATGATCACCTGCAAATCATGTAGTCCATAGCGATAGGAACAGGGTTAAAAGCTCTGTAATAGGCGAAGAAAACAAGGATATAGGGTTAACCAAACTAGGCACTTACAAGTGAATGATATGCTGCAGCCTCCATTAGGTGGCATACCAGTGGATTCGCCACTTTGTTGACCAGTTGAACAGCAGGAGATTGAAACCATGGGAACATTCAAGGAGCAGCATGAGGTTTGAGTGGTTGAAGAGTTTGGGTCTGGTGCTGTGGCAATGTAAGCAGGAACTTGCTGCTGTTGATATGCTGAAGATTGTTCAGGGGTTTGATAATTCCAATAATTTGTCTGATGTAATTGCTCAAGAACTTTCTGGCTTTGCACCTCAAGTTCATAGTACTTCCTCAGTAATTCATTGTAGTCCTCTGTCTGCTGGTTTGAGCTATCCTTTCCCTCAGTATTGGTGACATCAGAGAAGCATGTCTTAGATTCAGAGATATTTGTCTCTTTGCCCAGATCAGTTCCTCGAAGAGGAGCTTGCTTATCGGTCTTTCTTTCTTCGCAGGGCTGCTGTGGTGTCTCCACTGGGCCAACGGGTAAGTTAGTGCAGCTGTCATTTTTCTCTGTTTGCCTTTACAAACAAAGCAATACTTCATCAATTCTAGGACAATAAAACAAGAATTTAAAATTGTGTAAATTGACAAATGTGAACGGAAAGGATAAAACAAGTTCAGATAAAATAAACAGGTAAGCATTAGGCCATTACACCTCTTAATACATTTTAAAGCAAAAGGAATTTTTGAAGTTTGAAGTTCTCACTTAACTGAAATTGATTCACAGTGCGCATTTCAAAGTTTGAACAACAGACTGGAGAATTTAGCAAGGAATCACTAGATATGTAGCCAGAAATAGTACCAGTAAAACTCCAGCGACAGGTTCAACCAGCATTAGGACTAACTTAAATCGTTAATTCTAACCACACATGTAGAACTGGTTGATGGTTCCATAACATGAATCCCACACTTAAACTCTTCCCACTAATAAAAGTCAAGTTCTAAACAAAACATTCAGAGAAAGACAGTTAGACAGAGGAACATAGCACCGTCCTTTCTAGTTTCCACAGACTCCAGTTTCCATAAACAAGCCGAGTAACTTATAGAATTGCTATCTTTGCATAGGATAACCACTGCCATACCAGTAAAACAGGACAAGATATTATCTGGAGCCACAAGCATCAGTCTACTTACTCATCTGCCACTTCAGTAGAGACAGGTTCTTCTGCAACAGCAGCGGCAGCGTACGCGGCAGCAGAAGCGGCAGCAGCAGCTACATCTTCTGACTCTGGTTTCTCAGATGGAGCAGCTTGGTTGTTCTTGCCATGCATTGCCTACAAGCCACCACAATCGATTAGCACAATGCAAACGAGCAGTCCAACCATTCGCATAAATGTGGGAGAACCCCTGCGTTCTTCCACATAACAAGTAAAGGGGGAAATTTAATCGAGCTATTCATCCGACCAGAGAGAAATGCACTGAAAACTAAATCTATCATGAAACAAAAAGGCACCGTTACAGTTATGCTGTACTCATACTACTGCGCAGCGGCGAACAAATTGGACAGAGCAATCCATCCGACCCCAACCCCAGCCACCAAACCAACGTGCGGACCTACTCCAGATGCTCCAACTCGCGCCGCGAATAAGCTCCCAAAACCCTAAACCCTAGCGGCGGCGACGGGGTACCAAATCCGGAAAGGGCCAGAGGATGAAAGGGGGGCGAGGGCGCGTACCTTGTAGGTGGCGACAGCGTGGTCGAAGGCGTCCACCAGCGCCGAGTCGTCCCACAGCTCGCCGCCCTTCCCCATCTCCTCTCTCGCCAACTTCTCACGGCTTCCTCCTCCGACCTGCTGCGCCTTCCCACGAGCGAAGAGGACGAAAAGGAAATGCGCCTCCGCTCCAGTAAAACCCGTCGCCGTCACAAGTCGACGAACCGTCCATTCCGCCTTTTTGCCTACGAGGCGCAAGTACAGCCCATCAAGTCCCGTAGCAAAACGGGCCGGTCTAACGGGTGGCGCCCAATCGTGTGACGGGCCGGTCGAATCGGAGAGGGCGGATTGGGCCAGCCCAAGCGCGAGAGAAGCCACAACCACATTTTCCTCTATTTTTTTAGGTTTTCTGATTTCGTTTTTTGCTTTATTTTTGTACTTTTGTTTATACTTTCAAATATTTTAAATACACATATATATATATATATATTACAAAAAGTCTACAAAAACATTTGAAACATGTTGAATAATTATTTAAAAATGTTGAACAAGTATTTAAAAATGTTGATCATGTATAGAAAAATGTTAATCAAGAATTCAAAATAAAATATGTAGAACAAGTATTTGAAAATGTTTAAAAAGTATTTGAAAAAGGTTGAACCGGTATTTCAATAAATTTTGATCATGTATATAAAAGACAGTCTACAAAAAGCATTTGAAACATGTTGAACAAGTATTTGAAAAATGTTGAAATAGTATTTCAAGAATGTTGAACAAGTATTTCAACAAAAACTTGATCATGTATATAAAAATATTAATCAAGCATTCATAAAAGATGTTGAACAAGTATTTGAAAAATATTAATCAAGCATTTGAAAAATGTTAAATGTGTGTATAATTTTTTTTGACCATGTATTAAAAATGACGAATTTTATTGATCGTGTATATAAAAATGTTAATCCACCATTTGAAAAAATGCTAAACAAGTATTTAAAAATGTTAACCAAGCATTTCAAAAATATTAAATGTGTATAGAAAGAATGTTAACCATGTATTGTAAAAACTAAACAATTCCCCGCGCGTTGCTGCAGGAATTGTTGGCAATATGTTTAGATGATACTTGCTTATATGAAACGTGAATATTACAATTAATAATATGAGCATGAAAATACAAATATATGAAGTTTATTATACTTGAATAGTTTATTGTTGAAAAATAGTTTTGAAACATAAGTAGCATAATGTGAGTTTAAAATTCCTTGGAGTTGTCCACGCGGGTATCTTCTTCATTGAAGAAATATTGGACATGAGTAGTGAGAATGACTCTCTCCCAGCGCATTCCTGCGGTAACTTTGTTGAAAAATGCCCGTGTAAGTAGTTGCTAAATACAATGAAAAGAGAGTAGAAGCTTGAAAAACAATAAGAGAAAGTGTCTAAAAATATAATATATTTTTAAATTACAATTGAAATGTCATTTTGAGAAAAATGTGAATAATCAATAACATGAATATATGATGTGGCAGCGTACATGCATAGACTAATGGATTTATAAGTTAAATGCATGACTCGCTCATGTGGCAGATTTTGCATGGCTTAGTGGGATGTTGAGGTGGACACTTTGCATGTTGAGAGAGTTGGGACCAACTTCTTAAGAATGTAAGATGTGGCAGATTTTTCATGGCTTACTGGGAGAGAAGACTTAAATGCATTGCTTGGTTTGATGTTGAGGTGGACACTTTGCATGTTGAGAGGATTGAAGAATGTAAGATAACAAAAACTCAGAGAAGAAAGAATAAAAGAATAAAAAATAGAGAAGAAAAAAGAAGGAAAAAAAGGGGAAAAACTATATCGGGTCACCTCAAGTAGGTCGCATCCCTACAACTAGTAGAACTAGGTGGAGTGACTACCACCCTCGTCTATCTCTTGGGAGACCAGGGTTCGACCTCCCGTACGAGGGGTCTCTACTGTCGCTCTCGCGATCGTGGCGCTCATGTGAAGGCTTCCTAGGTCTGGCGCAAAAAAGGTTGGTCGCTCGGGACGATGTTCGATCGTGATCCTATCGCTCGGAGGCAGTATTCTTATGCTAGCTCAACCGTTGACTGTTTTGCCTTTGTAAAAAAATGAATCTGAAAAATTCGTAAAAAATATATGAAAACATAACATTTGAAAATAATTCGTTGATTTTTAAAAAAGTTCATCAATTTGAAAAAAGTTTAATATTTCTAAAAAATCATCAATTTGAATAAAAAATCATCAAATTGAAAAAAGTTCATGGATTTTCAAAAAGTAGTTCACAAATTCGGAAAAAGTTCATTAAGTTCGAAAAAAAATCATTGATTGAAATAGTTCACCGATTTTGATAAGAAAAACTTCACCAATTTCAAAAAAGAAAACGAATAATGAATAAAAGAGAAAAGAAAAGGAAAGAAAAGAAAATAAGAAACAAAAAAATGAAAAGAAGTAACTTAGGATTTCCTCAAAAAAAAAACACATTCGGGCGCGTTGCCTATTTGGCTACCATAGCTAGCACTTAGGATTTCCTCAAAAAAAAAAAAAAGCTAGCACTTAGGAAGAGGTCGTCGCTAGCGATTTGCAGAAAAGTCCTCCTATTCCTGAGAATTTAAACCGCAGTCCTATTCTAAGTGTGTTCCTAAGATAACGTTTCGTTTTTGCAAAAAAGACCCTGGCATCGTGGCAGGCGTTCGAGAGCACGGCGGACAGGAATTCGCCGAAGGTGGCCTTGGCCGGCACGGGGGCGAGCTCGCGCCCGCGCGCTTGCGGCTGGCGAGCCTAGCCCGCAAGTCCTCCCGCTGCTTGGCGAGGCCCTTGGCCTTCCTGCGCGCCTTGTCAGCCTCGGCGCTGGCCTTGGCGGGCCGAGGCGTCGCCGAACGGGCGGCAGATCTCGGCTGCTCCGCCGTGGATCCGACGGCGGAAGGATCGAGACGGGAGGGGCGGTAACCTCCATATGAGGATCCCAGGAGGACAGCAGCATGGATCTGGCAGTGGACAGATCGAGGCGGAGAGGCGACGACCTCCATGGCGGGCTCCGGAGCAGAGGAGGCAGAGTCTTGTGGCGGCGCTCGCCTGAGCTCCTGGCGTCGGGGATACGCCGGGAACGGGCGAAGGATGGCGAGGCAGGTCGGATACCGGCCGGATCTGGTGATTCCCCACGACGGACGGGCGGCGGAGGTCTACATGCTGCGGGGTCGGCTCGAAGCTCCTGCAGCGAGCATGGTGGTCTTCCTGTTGAAGAAAAGAGAGAGGGTTGAGAGAGAGACAGGGGAGAGATAGAGAGGGAGAGAGGAGGCGGGGCAACGTCAGGGTGCACCAGCTGCTCACCTAGGCGTCGACGTCGGCAGGGCCGCCGGGGTGTGGGTCGGAGGCTTGGAGTGGAGGACCTAGGCGTCCATGGCGGCCTCCCTGTAATAGAAAGCAAGAGAGATAGAGGGAGATGTGAGTAAACGGGTGAAATAGAGAAGAAGGGAACACGGAGATGACGGGGAAAAGAAGGCAGGGGAGCTCGGGGTCGGGGACGAGGTGGCTGCGCTCGGGAGCAGCAGATCGAGCCGCGACACGAGTATGGTGGTGAAGACGGCATTGCGACGGAGATGAAAGGATGGGCTTGGAGGAGCAGCAGCAGGGAGGAAGGATAAGACCAGAAACGAAGTCAGAGGGACGGCAACATCTGCCCAGGAAGACACGAGAAAACTAAGTGCGGTTGTCGCCTGTCGTAGTGGGCACCTATGATGATAAGATTTTTTATACAAAGTACTATTTATGTGTCTGGTCATCAGTTGTGCACGTCACATGCAAATCCAATGGAAGACACGAACACACACACACACCGGCTCTTTGCAGAAGAGAACCCCTTGTCTGTTTTGTACATTTGATACATGAATTATCTGACACTAATCAGATACTTTCTCTGTTATGTAAAATTTGGTACATAAATTATTTGGCACTAAACATAGTATCTGATAGTATGTCCTAATGTTTTGAAAAATAAATGCTTCTAAGTTTGTATTCATCCTGTACATTCATCAGTTTCAGTAAACAAATAAGTTAGTGTTATGCATGTGAAGAAAAACTCTTCCTTCTTGTGTTTGTTCAAAACAGAGAGAAAATGCAACAACAAAAAAATGATTTGCATGTTTATAAATTGATCTTTTAAAATAAAAAATGCAGTTTTTAATAATATGGATGTCTTGCTATACAGTTTGCTTTGTTGTTTAAACTCATGTTTAAATATTTGAATGTGTCCTTTTGAATATATGTTATATCTCTGATTATCTGCATAACCATTCTGCCTTTTCTTTATTATTTAGAGGAGATAAGATGTATAGAGGTTAAATATTCTTCCATACATTTGACATGTTCCCCTGTATTGTGTATCATGTTATGTAGGTAGACCAGACAGTCAGTTTTGAAAACTGTTTGACCATGGCCATCCTGTTAGATGCTTGGAGTATATTAGCCGCACATGTTCCTTAATTATACGCAAAATCCCGTTATGTATGGCAAAAGGCCTTCGATTGACTAACGATGTTTAAATATATAAGGGAAGATTCATATGATGTTTTCCTACAGATATAACTATGAACCCAGAAGTGAGTTTTGAATCATTTTCTTATTAAACAATTGAAGTGATTGCTTTTCTCTTTGATTTTATTTGTGTGAAATATATAGGGTCATCTTATAGTTATATTTGACTTGGAACAAAATAAGGTCCATTATTCACTCCAAACATGCATATTTGTTAATGGAATTTTATGTTTGTCCCAATTGACACAAAGTCTTACTTGCATCAATTATATCATTTTTTATATGAGGGTGTATGTAGCAAATAGTGTGTTGTAATTATTATTTTACGTATAGTTAATTAGACTAAGACACATCATATGTATTTGTGGTAAAACTAGAAATTGATGTGAGTTCTTTTGATGCACTACAAATAATGAAAACCATTAGCCCAAAATCAGAGGGTGGTAATCATTTCTTATGAAATAATTGAAGTGATTGCTTTTCTCTTTGAATTTCTTTTTGTGAAATATATAGGCTCGTCTTATAGTTATATTTAACTTGGAACAAAATAAGGTCCACTATTTCACTCCAAACCTGCATATTTGTTAGTGGAAGTTTATGTTTGTTCCTGCCGACACAAAGACATACTTGCATCAATTATATCATTTCTATATGAGGACGTATGTAGCAAATAGTGTGTTGTAATCATTTTTGTACATACGGTTAGCACTAAGACATGCCATATGTATTTATGGTAAAAACTAGAAATTGATGTAAGTTCTTTTGATGCACTATAAATATATGAACACTATTAGCAAAAATAAGAGGGTGCACTAAATTATTGGCCATTTAGATTCATGGTTTTGATGTTAATTGTTCTACCATGAACATTCTCTTCCGCTAGCATTCGACCAGTAATGTCTAAGCCGCGATTGAACCAGGGACCAACAGATTGTAGAATGAGCTAGCCACAACGCCAAAGTAAGTGTTCCGTTCTGGACGTATACGTATCTTGTAGAGTTGGGATGTTAAGCTTCACTTTAATTACTTTGCGGAATATGTGCACTAAAAGAATTTTAATTTCTCATGTCAGGCAATTGAAAAGATCTCAAATTTTATTTACATTATTTTCTTTCACAAGTGGGGTGCATGGATGATTTTTCCCGTTGCAATGCACGGGCATTTTTCCTAGTAATAATAAAGCAAATTGGGTTTGTTTCGTCCGTCATGGCATTTTTTCAGAAAAGTCCCTCTATTTCAGAGAATTCAACCCGCAATCCTGTTTTAAGTTAAAACGAAGCGTTATTTTCGTATTTTACATAAAAGTCCCTGTCTTTTCTTGAAATCAACCCGCCGTCCAGATTTAAGTC